TTCCCTCTCTTCAACCTACTTCCCTCCTTCCTTCTACCTCCTTCCCTCCTCTCCACCTTCTCAACCACTCTACTCTACACATCCCCCCTCCTTCCCTCCTCCTCTTCCAAATGTGGTCCTGTAGGTCAATCGAGCCTCCATTCTTGTACTAAAAAACCTCCTATTCTAAAATGCTCAACAGCCTCACAGGACCACATTCTCTCTCTCCAACCTACTTCCCTCCTCCTTCTTTCTACCTCCTTCCCTCTTCCCTATCAACCACTCTACTCTACACATCCCCCCTCCTTCCCTCCTCCTCTTCCAAATGTGTTCCTGGAGGTCAACCAAGCCTTCATTCTTATCTCACTACCTTTATCTTTTTAAATCCAGTATCAGCAAGACAATTTGGAAAAAAGGTTTTTGTAAGCTGAAAACAGTCTTTTTGTGCACTTCTCACGCTTAAATAAAAAAGAGTTTTTCTTTCTTTAAGCAGTGCATTTTATTTATTTTAATTAAAGGTAGAAATATAGGACATTACAAAAACTTTGGTCAGATGAGGCCTCTAGCAGTGGAGAAGCCAGTTTGCCAGATAGGAATACTAAAGTGTGGTAAAGAATAGAGAACCAGGTGGTTGAATGTAATAAATGAATTATACTTATGTTGAATCAAAATGAATAGACCAATAGTCAATTTTTTTTTCTTCCCAGCATTTAACTTATAGTATATACTCTGGATTTTATGTTTTATCTTTGCTTATTTGAAAAATAATTCACACAATAGGGACACGTTTTTGAAAAACATTTTAACTTTAGTCTTTTAAAAATATGTGTTTAGGTTTTTTCTTGGGCCCGAGAATCCCCTCCAAACCCCAACAAACCAATGGATACCTATTTTGATCCTGATATACAACAGCTAGTATCCTACCAACTGAAAAAGCCTGAAAACCTTACAGCGGATGATTTCAGCAATACTCAGACACTTCCAGTAATTCAAACGCCTGATATGCAAAGAGGTTTAGATTACTTTAAGCCTTGGTTAGGTTTTGATAGCAAGCAACCATTTCTTCTTGTTGGACCTGAAGGATGTGGTAAAGGGTAAGAATTTGTGCTTTCACATTAATTACTGTTGTGGTACTGTTAAAAATTATATTGGTGGAAGTGTTCTTTGAAATTAAAGTTTCTGCCACAAGTCTATTCTATAGCTTAAAATTACAAGACTGTAATCATGATATCCTATCTTTCCTCTGGATGCATGACTCTACATTCTATTTTACTTTATAAAAACAACTTTGCGTATCAAAGTAATAAACTTTGCCTAATTAATGTTGTAGAGTAGGTTGGAGAGTGAGATTATGCCTGGCTCACAAAGTCATACAATAAATACTGTAACTGACTTGGGTTTGAAACCAATAATATATAGGACTGCAAAGAAAAAATGGTGGTATTTAGTCTAGCAGTGAACTAATTGGACAATAGAAAAAATCCCAAAAGGAGTTAAGTGAAAGGGCAATTAATTCAAGGCAATAAAGCAAAACGTAATATTAAGCAACTACATTTTAGAACAACAATTGGCTCTTCATTTTGGGAACTATATAGAGTGAAACATCCCTCAGATAATTAAATATATATATAAAGGAATAGTGCACATTTTTAAAACAATTTTATTCTCTTTCTTTTGGGGGGAAGTACATGTTCCATTTTTTGGGGGGGAGAAGTACATATTTATGAATACAAGATTTTATATTAGTTGTATAGAGATCACAAGTCTGAGGCATCCTTTATCTAATTTTGTAAATATTTTAAATTTTGATTTGATTTGATTTTTTTCATTTTTATAGAATGCTACTCCGTTATGCCTTTTCCCAGCTTCGGTCTACTCAGATTGCTACAGTTCATTGCAGTGCACAGACTACATCTCGGCATCTTTTGCAGAAATTAAGTCAGACATGTTTAGTAATTAGCACTAATACTGGACGAGTATACAGGCCAAAAGATTGTGAAAGACTGGTTTTATATCTAAAAGATATAAATTTGCCTAAGCCTGATAAATGGGGAACAAGCACATTGGTGGCTTTCCTACAGCAGGTGAGTTGAAAAAGGTTGTTCATTTTTTAATAGTTGTGTAGAATAAAACTGAATTTTGTATCTGTTAACATTTGTATAAATGCTTTCCCCCCAAAATTACAACATTTCATCTCTGTGTCTTACGTTGTTGATAAACAGTTTGTTGTTCGTTGAAGATAACTTTTTAAAAATAAGTTTATTTAATTGTCCCCTCATATATTTTCCGTATTTCTGATATTAAATGTTAGGTTTATAATATGACAAGAGGTATACAGGTTGTCTTTGATTTACAACCACAATTGGGACCAGAACTTCCTTTACTTAGGGATGCAGTCATTATGTGAGCAGTGCCTGGTTTTATGACTTTTTTGCTGTAGTCATTAAGTGAATGATCACAATTCTTAACTGAACCATGTGTTTGTTAAGCAAACCTGGCTTCTCCCATTGACTTTGCTTGCTGAAAGCCCCCTGCAACCATTGTCAATACATACTGGTTGCCAAGTGTCTGATTTTTGATCACATGACCACAGGGACACCGCAACAGTTGTAAGTGTTGTAAGCCACTTGTTTCAGTGCCATCATAACTTTGAATGGTCATTAAATGAATGGTCGTAAAAGATGGATTACCTGTAAAGTTTATTTTATTTTAAATGATTGATCTGAGTTTTTTTCTTTTTTAATTCAGAGAAGTTACTTTTATAAATTGTCTCTTCCTGAGTAGCATTTCTCTCTAACTCACTACTTGCTTAACAAATGCAAACCCAATTTAACAATCTTCCTGCTTAACCTTAATAAATTTTTTAAAATGTATATTTATTAAGACTTTTAATAATCAAATTGAATAAGAGAGAAAAAAGCAAACCCCCCAAAATTGCAAGAAATTTAAAAAGTTAAGAAATAGATAAATGACCTCTGATCTTCTTTTCAACAGATGACAGTCGTATTGTACTTCCTCCTCCTTAAATATTTTGCAGATCTCTTCACCTTTATTTAATCTATATCTTCAAATCCAGAAATCATCAATTCATTTTTTTCTTCTTTCAGCAAAAAATCCATATAATATTTCCAGATTTTTTAAAAAAACAACAACATTCTGATAGTAATAAGTTGATTTATTATTAACCTCTGGAGTAGCTTGCGACTTGCTGCGCTGCTGCTGGTTATTAACAGGCTCTCTGCTTTGACCCTAATATGTTAATTGCTTATCGCTTTCATCTCTGGCATGGCTTCCATCTTGCCACTGCTATTTGGCAAGACAAACAGCCTGCACTCCTCAAGAAGCCCTCCCTGGACCCAGATGTATTGGCCAATTATCGCCCGGTCTCCAACCTTGGCTTTGTGGCGAAGGTTGTTGAGAGTGTGGTTGCGCAGCAGTTCCCTCGACACCTGGAGGAAACAGTCTATCTGGACCCGCTCCAGTCGGGCTTCAGGCCGGGATACAGCACGGAAACGGCATTGGTCACGTTGGTAAATGATCTCTGGAGGGCCCGGGACAGGGGTTATTCCTCTGTCCTTGTTCTTTTGGACCTCTT